CACCGAAAGAAGAAGGGTAAGATTTTAGCTCTGAGCTCTGACCTTTTGGCTTTCTCTTTTACATTGGTTCTGTGTTTCTTATTTAATAAGACAGTTGGTTACATCTACAGGTAAGGGTACTTTAGTGTCTGAGAACCCTTGGTTCAATCCTTAGTGCTGCTAAAACAACAAAGGTATGCAGTGTTTATTGTTATATTTCCATGTAGTGTGTTCTGGCTTATCTATGAAATATTTTAATAGTTGTACTGGTTTTGTACATGTAACTTCTGTTGAGTGAATTTTAAAACTTTTTATAATATTTACTGAAGACTATAAATACTGTTACTTTCCAGGTTTCTGTTTTCAGATGATGGTGGTCTTATATTGATTGAAAATTACTATAGCTCCCTGTTATCAAGTATTTGCCATATATCAGGCACAGTGTTGACTGTGATCTGTATCCTAATCTCACCATCTTATGTTGGTCTACTGTTATTTTGTAACTTGACCTCATTATTGTTGTGCTTAATTATGTGGTCTGTCCCTTAAATTTAACCTAAAACTTATAATTTTGACCACTCTGCTTGCAGCCACTGAACTCTAAATTAGTGTAGTCTGTTTTATTCCCATAAGCTTATTTTTGGAGAATATCACACAAGTTAGATATTATTGGTGCCTTCTAACCAGTGCCTTTATTTCTCAGCTGGGATTTAGTGCACTTGTTCATCTTCCTGATTGTCCTTTAACTATGGGACTCAATGTGCCTACTACCACAGCCATTCTTTTGAAGCCTTTTATCTTCCACTTTCCTTAAGATTCTCTATGTATGGCTTTGCCTTAGAAGAGCCTTAGCTAGGAAGTAACTATTGGTAGATTGCAAAGATCTTTTCATGGGAGAAAGATGATAAAACCAGGAGCTCTTGGATATCAAGTCATAAAATGACTTTTTTTTTCTAAATTCTAGTTTGCCAATACCAAAGTGTTTTGTAATGATAGGAAATTAAATACTTTAACTTAATTCAGTATAATACAAAGGTAAAATTGAGTAAATTAAATGTGTCATATATTTTGTGTTCTCAATCTTTAGGACATTAAATTGTATGATTGGTCAGATGAAGCATATCTTGGCTGCAGAACAAAAGAAAACAGATTTTAAGCCAGAAGATGAAAACAATGTTTTGATTCAGTATACTAATGTGAGTGGAACTATTCAGTTTGCTAATATATTATCTTCTTTATTAAAGCTTGAACAATCATTAGTGTGCATAATTGTGTTTTAAGTTTTTTCTCTTATACTTGGAAATTGAAAAACTATTTTTCTTTGCTAAGCTAATACACATATCTGTATAATAAGTGTAGAAAAACTTTTACAGGCATGCGTAAAAGTCTGTGCTTATGTAAGAAAACAAGTTGAGAAGATTAAAAATTCCATGGATGGGAAGAATGTGGACACAGTTCTGATGGAACTTGGAGTACGTTTTCATCGGCTCATTTATGAGCATCTTCAACAATATTCCTATAGTTGTATGGGTGGCATGTTAGCAATTTGCGACGTAGCTGAATATAGAAAATGTGCCAAAGACTTCAAGGTACGTTTAAACAAATATCGAGCTTGCAAGCCATACCATTAAAAACCTATACTGACTTGTTAAGAAGTGTGTGATTTCATTGGCATCATAAGGAGAGTTCTAATACAGCTTACCTAAAGGCAGTTATTCCAGTTATATTTCAATATTAGCATTTCCCCCTAGGGGTTTTATTTTAGTTAAGGTCATATTTCAGCACATTCCATCCAGGTGCCTTTTAACATTCATGAAAAATTATGGTTATGTCACACATTAGGAAAATACCCTTATTTTCATGTGTGTTCCTCTAAAATCAGTTTTCTTTTATATTTAAGTTATTTTTAAAGGTGCTATACTAATGATAATTAGTTCTAGTGTATCAAATTACAAATTATTGAGAAAATTGAATAATATGGATCTTTTCAAAGATTATTAAGAGTTTTAACTATGGAAACTTTTGAGATTTAGCTCTTCAGAAGCTTTAAAAATTCTAACATATGGAATGTCTCCCATACAACCAGTATGTGAGAAGAATTTGCAGAACTAGGAAGTAAGTTGTTCTGGTTCAATGCTTTTCTTTTGCTTTCTCAATTCAGATTCCAATGGTATTACATCTTTTTGACACTCTGCATGCACTTTGCAATCTCCTGGTCGTTGCTCCAGATAACTTAAAGCAAGTCTGCTCAGGAGAACAACTTGCCAGTCTGGACAAGAACATCCTTCACTCCTTCGTACAACTTCGTGCTGACTATAGATCTGCCCGCCTAGCTCGGCACTTCAGCTGAGTTGAAGTCACAAAGGAAATGTGTTGTATTTCAGAAGGCCTCGGGTGATAGAAGCACAGGAGATTCCTTATGACACAGCCAATGTTTTATGTGAAGAAATGACTGGAAGAAAGCAGCAGCCATACTTACCCAGGAATTTCATTGAAAGTTGGACACCATTAGCTATATTTTGCTTTTTATCTTTTCCCTGTTACATTGAATTCCATACTTTAATTTATAAATTTCAAATTCTTTAAACCTATACGTGACTGTTATAATCCTGAAAAATGTTGGTGTGAGAAGATGAATGAATTTCACCAGTGTTCTGGTTCTTGATCTTTAACGCATTCTCTTTGGAAACCCTACCATTCCTGTTTTGATTAAAATAGGTGAAGTGCAGTAAAACTATACTTATTTATCAGTTCTTCAGTTAACTTTTTAGCACCGGTGATGTTAATTAAGTTATTAGATTTCCCTAAAGAACTTGTAACAACTCAAAAAGACCACAGTTGAGCATCATTTCTATAGGTGGGAGGGGCTTTTCCTGAGGTATAGCAGTACTAGTCCAGGGAAAATGTTATGAACTAAACTAAAATGATGAACTGTTTTAAGTAGATGGTAGGAACAAATCAGAATATATCTGCTTTCTGGGTAAAACTTCCAAGTTTACTATTTCTTATTTGATAAATAGATTTAAGCCAATTAATTAGTAAGAAATTAATGAAACTACCTTATTTTATATTTAGCTTAAGGTGGAATACTTTAAAGGACCATGTTTGTTATTTTAATACTCTGAGTAAAAAAGTGACATATAGTGTAAACGGTATTTATGAGAAATAGCAACATGTTTAGCAACAATGCAGTCAGTCCCTTAAGACCAGCCAGCCTTGAATGAAATGGGATGGCTAAACATCCAGTAGTCTTCTATTTTAAGAGGAATTGAGAATTTCAGGTAATAAATATTATATATTCCAAGTTTGGAGGCAAGCTCACAGCAAAAGCCTGCTTTTCAGTTCTGAAGATTCTTTCATTGTCCATTTTCAAGACATTTCTGAAGTTATTCCTACTTGGATATTATTGATTGAATTGGCTTAATATGGTACAATAATAAAACACTCACAAAAGTTTAAACATCAGATAAAAATTTAGAAAGGCCATTGCTCTGTAAACCCTATTAACTTACTCTGTAAGAATACATTCTAAGTTATATATAGTCCATTATATTGTTCATGGTGTTCTAGGACCCAAGTGAGCTGTAATATTCAGTTCATTCATAGCATTGTTTTCTCTTAATGTAGGGTTTGGCCTAATTTGGGGTGAATTGTTTATTTCTTCTGAGAACCTCACTCTGAATAGTTATCAACATTACCAAGCTGTCTAATCCAGAATTAGCTACTGTACAAGTTACTGTTGACTGTATTTCCATTTTCTGTTTAGCCCAGTGTTACAAAGGTAAGCAAGGGCAATGAGCATGCCAACTTTTGTCACTTTTATAGGACGTTGTGGCAGTTTTAGAGGCTTTCCAGAAAGCAGTCCTCAGACCAGGGAGAGCCAGAACAGGTCTGGAGACTAGAAAAGATCTATACTTGTACTGTTGCCACTTTAAAAAGTACTGATGTGAATTCAAATTATACCTCTGTTACTTCAAGCCAACAGTTTTCAGGCAGTAGTTTTACTGGCCATTTGAACTCTTTGTACAGTGTCAATTTGTAAAAAAAAAAAAAAAAAAAGAAAAGAAAAGAAAAGAAGAAAAAAATCAAAACATGAGATAACATTATAAGACTTCCAAATCAGAGAAGCACCTCAAATTATTTTGTTTGAATTAATTTTTAAAAATGTAAAGCAGTTACTTGTTTAGATATTTTGTTAATTATTATTTCCATGCTTGAGTTCTGTGCAATATTTTCCATTATGTCCACTGACAGGACAAAGAAAATTCAAAGTGAATACCTTATTTAGAAGTGTTAACTTTCATGCTCAATAAACAAATTCCCTGCAATTGTTTTTTTATTTCACCCAATTTTTACATTTTAAGAACATCTATAATGAATTATATATTTGATTTTTTTTAACTAAAAGTATTCCTTATTTTTCATAGTTTAGATTTCTCCCTTTTTTTAGCAGAAAGGAACATGACTATATAATCAAGATTTAAAAATCTAACTAGAATAGGGTGTTTCTCTAAAGAAATAAAAATATGTGTTGTATAAACCAGTATAAATTCTTTGCATTTCACTCTTAAAGTATTTACATATATGGGCATCATAAAATTTAGTTCAAAATGTATAACTCAAAAAAGATTGTCAATAGATAAAATGCTCTTATATATACATGGGAAATTTTTAGTTAGAGATAATGGAGCTTAATAAATTTTACCAAAATTTAAATAATCTTTATACTATCCCACAGTTCTGTGTGAACTACACATAATATTTAAGTATAAATATTTCATTTAAAATGTGCTTCAAAACACTGAGAAGTGTTTGTCTAAACTTGAGTGTCTTAATTTGAGATGCAGAACACAGACTTCAGAAGAAGGCTAGTTTCTGAATTACTGGAAATGATAGATCACACAAATCCTTATATATAGGTTTAGAATGGCCCCTGAATTAATTGAAAATGATCGAGTACACTGTGAGCCCTTATCAAGAATTATTAGATTTTATTGGGTGGATCGATTTTTAGAATATGGCAGTGTAACCATTCCAAGACAATTACTGGCCTCCTTTAGGAATGCCATTGCTGTGAATCCCTAGGGTCTTCCTTGTTTTAAAAAGTGCTGGTATCATAGGTTAAAGGAGGTTAAGTTAAATTTTAAAGCAGGTAATTTGTGGTATATTTTCTTTGCTCTTTCCATTTTTCTTTCCTTTTATGCCTAAATATTTTACTTTCTGAATACTAGCTTCTTATACACAGTGAAGTAATTACCAGTCAATAGATTGATTCAAAGTAGAGAATTTACAGCTTCCTTGAGACGTTTCTGCCTACATTAGTACACATCCAGATGAAGAGATATTGGCTCCTAAAATATCCCTGAACCTTAGAGTGGTCGTGTTCATAAGGCTAAGACATGCTTGAATTGTTGGTGCAAGAATAAGGGGCACTCAAATTTATGCCTTGTGACCAGGAAAGATTATATCTCCTGATTAACATGGTGTTCTTACAAAAATATTCTGTCATTGCCCACACACTGTTCACTGCTTTTTCAGGAGTGTGAGATCTTTTCTAGAAGCCCCCTGGACTTACTTGATTTCTAGCAGAGACTTTGGTATACAAAGTACTCTGAATTATCCAGTTCGTTGAATTATGTTCAATTCCTTTACTACTCTACTTGAGAAGGCTTATCCTACAATTTACTACATATTTTGGAAAAGAAGACCAGTGCATATCATTGTGCCAAATAATTTTTCATGAAGTTAAAAACAGCAATTTAAAACTTTAACGCATAATAAAGGTAATTATATCTACATTTATTAGACTTAAGTCTCATGTGCTGTGCTAAGTCCTTTGCATATATTGTTGATTCCAGAGTAACTATCATTTGGGTACTATTATTTCTGTTTGGCAGGTGAAAGACCTAAGTCACAGAACAGGTAAGGAGACCTTCAAGGTCTATAGGCTGACACAGGCTCAGACTTAAATCTCGTATAATGGGAGTGAATAATGTCTTTTTTATAATTTACATTGTATTTTTCTTATTTGTGTGACATTATGTATATTGCTTATTTTGATAGCCTCATCAGTTTTACTTAATTTTCTTTTCATCCAGTATTTGATTCTCATTGTGAAGTTTAGATAATGAAGTTGGAATACAGGATCTGTATCAAGCTACTGTTGGATTTTTTAAAAATATTTTAGTGTGCAATCATACTATCTCAGTTGGTGTTTAAAGTTATATAAGTAGTCGTTTAATTTTATTCAATATTAAGTTTGTATTTAATGGAAACCTACCCATCACAAAGGTTTCCCTTAGTGAATATATTATACAGTCATATTTCATATTGTTTCTGCTTAATAATTTTAACAATAGAAAGAGTCTAGGTATTTCATAAAAGTTTTTGAATTTTTTATTTTCTGAGATTATAATAATTACATAATTTCCTCCTCTTCTTTCCTCCAAACCTTTCCATTTACCCGTCCTTGCTCTTTTTCAAATTCTGGTCAGCCTAGAAAACACACATAACAAATACCATTATATAGACTGAGTAGGTTGTAATTATGTATTTAGGAGTATGTGTATACATACATGCATATGCTCATACAGTTTTCTTATAGCATGGGAGAAAATAATAACTCCCCCTTAGGGGATACAAAGAAAGCAGTGTTTTTACATTCAAAAATAGACTACTTTAAATGTCATGGGCTTGCTGATTCTGTTAGCTATTTAATGCATCTTGAAATGACTAATTCTAGAGTGAAAATGTAGGACAAAAAGTAATTTATTAATAATTTATAATCATTAGAATTTTTATTGGTGAATGGAACTGGTAACCCTGAACTTAACTAAGTATGTAGTTTTAAACTAGGCACTGCATATTTTATCACTGCTATCTGGTGATATTATTTATTTGCTGTAGGTATCAATAAGCGTTCACTCTTATGACTAAATATCCATGTGGAGCAAAAAGGACCAGCAGTTAAACACAGTTGCTCATTTTCTCAATGGCTTAAAGGGTTGTCATCTGCCTTAACGTACAAGGCCAATTTAAATAGGAATATATCGTATCATACTCCAAATAGCAAGCAACCTCAGAAGAAAGGCATTAGGAAGGCATTTTTGTGTTGGACATCAGTGAGGCACTACAAATGTATAATTATTTGCACTAATATTTGAGCAGATGGAATGGATTAGAATATGATCCACATTATTTTGCGGACATATATTTTTCTATTAATATGTACTGTGCAATGTGTTAAAGCTGTCAATAATTCATTTTAGCCAGGATACTAATATTTATTACTGTGTTTAAGAGGCAGTATCCAATTGAGCCACTTTTAATTAAAAAATTTGAGACCAGAATTATGTTTACATTCCAGAAAGCACTTAACTTACTTTATAATCAAAAGATCAGTAAAACAGACTTACCATGCCTGCTACTTAATAAGAGGAAATACAGAGGCTTGAGATTGGAGGTAGGAATCTAGAATGAGAAAGCTAAAGGCTCATTTATACTCATAACTTTTATCACTATTGGCAATTTTAAATGAAGAAAAGATCCCTTCCATAATGTCTTTATATTAGTAAGCTAGGTGAAGATTGGGTAGAACCTGTTCCGTAGAACTGATCTCCTAAGGAAGACTTCCAAATCGTAGGTTAGACCTGACGAAGTGGAAACCTTGATGCCCCTGTAATCCTAAATAGGCAAGTGCCCTTCAGTGAGGCTGATCTTATGCCTGACAGTCATCTTTATCTTCATTCTGTGGGGATCTCGGTTTCCTGTTTTCTTGAACTCTGGCCTTTGGTTGTAGCACTTCTGTCAAATGTGTGGCTTTTCCCCTTAGTTCTGTGGGGATCTTGGTTTCCGGTTTTCTTGAACTCTGGCCTTTGGATGTAGCAGTTCTGTCAAATGTGTGGCTTTTCCAACTAGAAATCCAGACACAGTACCAATCTAAAGAAGACTGGGGCTACCTCTGCACATATTGTTTGTAAATACTGTAGGGGACACACATGAAATTATGTGATGATACTTTATAAATATTTTCCTAAGTGCCTATTAAGATTCTCCAGTAGAACGTATTTTCAATTTTTACCACAAGGGGGTGATGTTATTTTTATAGTGATAACTTATTTTTATTTAAAAAATGGAATTCATGTAATTTTATTGAACAACATCTATGAACACTACTGTCATACACTGCAGGTGTGTGTGTGTGTGTGTGTGTGTGTGTGTGTGTGTGTGTGTGTGTGTGTGTAATTCAGAAAGTCATCAATGAGGAAAAGTCTAAGAAAATTAAGAGCACAAAATCCAAAACATGTTTGTATACAGAGATGGACGACTTGAACCAAATTCACCACAACTAAAATTGTGTTTTTGGAGTTTTGTATGTTACATTGAATTCTTTGTCAGCTTTTTAAAAATAAGGTATTCATTGTCTGCATTCACTTTTTAATGGGGAAACTTTTGGAATAAACTCAAGTATAAAGAAATAATTTTAAGGATGTACCAAACAAAAACTTCCCCTTTGATGGTAAATTGCTCCTGTGATGTTATCTTGCAATTCTTTAGCATTTTCCAGAAGAAGAATTCTGTCTGACCATAATACAGCTGTCAAACTCGGGGATCTGCTCTGACATGTAACTGACATCTAGTCCTCAGACCCCACTTCAGCTTTACAGGTTTGTCTCAGTGTCTCACTCTGGGATGCAGATGAAAACCATGTGAGGCTCCATATGATCTGCAGTTCATTTGCTTGAACACCTGTTGCTTCTGACTTTTTCAACTCCCCCCCCCCACACACACACACATACTGTGTGGGTTATAGGTAGTTACTGTGTCCCTGAGTTTGGTTCCTGTTTGCTCATGGTTGGATCCCAGTCATACTTGTGGGGACCTTCACAGTTGCTCTGCTGCACTCTCTTTGCACCCTCCCGGGTCTTCACAGCTCCACCTCAGCCACTTGTGGAGTGCTCATTAACCATGTGTTTAGGGATCAGGCCTGCACTGTGTAGAGTGCTCTTTTCCCTGTAAAATGATATGGGGAGTTGCTTTGTATGTATCAGAGTCTAATCACAATTTCAGTTATTACCAGTTTTTCTATTCAAGGGACTCATGAAGATTGTCTCTAGTTGGGTCAGTGGGAGCCTCTTCAGGTTGGCTCTTGTGCTCCTTTGGCATTCCCAACATTTTAAAGGCATTGGCTTGCACTCAGTACAACAGACTTTTCTAAGTTCATTTTGTACTTGTCTACCCTAGCTCTCCTATCCAAGTACTAACCAGGCCCAACTGTGCTTCACTTCCAGAATGAGGTAAGATTGGGCCCCCCAGGGTAGCGTGGCTGGAGATTTCCTGCAGCTCTCAAATCAGTCATTCTACTTTTCGGTGGAAATTGGTTCTTGGAAGCCAAGGTTTGTGCACTGGTTATACTCATTAAAATGGAGGTGCTGCTGCTTCTAATGTGTAGTGCTGGGAGCTTTGTGTGATTGTCTCTACATATACTCATTCTTAAAACACATATCCATGGGCATACACTCCTGTGCCCTCTCCCCCCTTTATCACACACAACCCCATGAGATTCAGTGCCCCATACTGGATTTCCCAATCCCATGCAGAGGAGGGAGGGCATCCTCATCCTACTCAGCTACTGAAGTATTGACTTTAGGACCAAATTGGAAGAACAGGAATGGTCATTTTAGAAATCATGTAAGTCAAGTGTTGGTGGTGCATACCTTTAATCCCAGCACTCAGGAGGCAGAGGCAGGTGGATCTCTTAGTTGGAGGCCAGCCTGATCTATAAAATGAGTTCTAGGATAGTCAGGGTTACACAAAGAAACACTGTCTCAAAAAAAAAGAAAGAAAGAAAGAAAGAAAGAAAGAAAGAAAGAAAGAAAGAAAGAAAGAAAGAAAGAAAGAAAGAAAGAAAGAAAGAAAGAAAGAAAAGAAGAAAAGAAGAAAAGAAGAAAAGAAGAAAAGAAAAGAAATCATATAAAGATTTTTAAATTCTAAATAAATTACAGCTTTAGCACTCAAGCAACTATATGGGGGTATACTGTAGTGAGGAAAATAGTAAAGGTGAATTGTTTATAAAATATTACACTAAAAAGTTAAAATTTGGAGGCAAATTTAAAATGCATAGCCTGTTTTTCTCTATCTCTTTACTGCTGTAATTGCTTATTTAATGATAGAGTACATCATAGGAACTGTGAATGACATTTTAGCTGTTAAATACTGGATAAAATGATTTTGCTAATAAATTTCAAAGGAAAAAATAATTATAGAATTGTTGTTTTTATAGGCCCTTAAAAAGTATGTGTTCAGATTGACTTCATGTGAGACAGGTGTCTATCAACACTAGGTCTCATACATACTGAGGTTAACTTCGTGTGAAATGATAGACTGAGACACAGACGTCTACCAAGTTATATTTCGAAAAGATAAAACAGGATTCAAACTTTCTCTGGCTCTGAGACCAGTGTTTTAAGCACTTGTTTGTGTTACCCATAGAAAGTTCACAAAGGTGGCCATGTTTCATCTGGGCTCATGCAAGCATTATTTTACAAAATGAGGCAGGAGACGGGGCAGAGTGACTGCTTACAGATGGGTAGAGTCTGAACCACTGCTGTGTTCACCAAATGGAAAGACGGCTTTGAGAGGAGAGTTCAGCGTGAGTGTGTGTGTGTTTGAAGGCAAAGCTGGGATGGTTTGGGTTAGCCGATTAAGTCTTCAGTGATAGGTCAGTTGATTTATTATAGAAACAACAAATCATAAGATGGAGTTTGTTTTTAGACAATACAGTATAAACATGCAGTGA